CAGCAGCTGGATGCAATAATCGCATGCCAATGTGCATTGGCTCGTTTAGTTTACACTCTAAGTAGATTGGTCTCTCTAAGCGAGATCCCAATTCGTCGGTCATCCGACGTGATGTCGGGAGTGACCGACTGAAAGGGAACCATAGTTCTCTGACAAGATACGCAAAAAAAATCACAGACGATATAATCGTACGATTATGAAATTGAAGAAATCGTTCAGAATAATGACAGCTGTTTGCATAGCTTCTCAGTGAACTACGGCTCTGTGAAGTAAATGCTGCTCCATCTGAAAGCATGTGAAAATACCACATTTAATAACATATTTTTACTCCAAACTCACTTCATAACGTCAGTTGAGTGTTTGAAATCCTTCTGTGAGATGATGTGGCTTCTTACACAGAATAAGGCACGCAACATATTTCATAGTATTTAAGCAGTGATAAAGGTTATGTCGATTAGCATTGCATTATTATATACTTTATTATAATAAAAATTATAATAACACGAAGTCAGATAAACCATATATTGTTGTAGTCGTGTGTTTATTAGTCACGTTGAATTAATGAAAGCAGTTAAATCTTCTGTTTTTTCAGCAACCGCTATAGGGATTTCCTGGGGCTTTTTTTGGCGTATTTGGAGTTTCAGCGCGAGAGCGCCCTCTGGCCTTCGGATGGAGATTTACTGCTGATCACAGAACAGTGCTTCACTGAAAGATACGCATGACAATTGCAGCTTCTGTCTAATCGTGATTTATCGCCTTTGCGATTTAATTTCGATTAATCGTGTAGCCCTAGTCTTAATGCTGGATTAGTTTCATCTTTTGTCTTCTCCAGATGTTAACTGATGGACTGGAGTGGTGTGGATTACTTGTGGATTATTGTGATGTTTTTATCATCTGTTTGGACTCTCATTCTGACAGCACCCATTCACTGCAGAGCATCCATTGCTGAGCAAGTGATGCAATCCTACATTTCACCAAATCTGATGAAGAAACAAACTCTTTGATGACCTGAGGATGAGTAGTCTACATTTTCATTTTTTGCTGAACTATTCCTTTAATAGTTGCACTGAAGTATGTGCAAAACACCACTAAATATAAATGTATATACATACACTACTGTCCTGACTCAATCTCTCTCTATAAATTAAACATCTCTATATGACGTATTCCACTCTACTTTTTCCAGAAGTAGTAAATACAGGTCCAATATGAGAATTCAGTGCCTGATCAACCTCTCCATCCTCACACAGTCAATCTCTCCGGATGTGACGGGGGAATGTGACACTCTCAAAATCCCAGTTCTGGAATTTTGATGATAAATCGAGACGATGTTCCCCATAACTCAAAAAAAAAAAAACATAATTTATGTTAATCCTGTTCATTCCCACTCCTACATTTGCTCTGCATGTCATGCTTGACTCAAGAGCCACTGAGGGACCGACTTCAGCACATACACGACTATAACACTATATCACATCTTATCCCTGGCCATATACTAATACAAACCATGTGATCTGATAAATTATATGGTGATGTAAACCGCTCCTTGCCAATTTTGAGAAAAAAAATCTGGAAATGTAGTACTAATACTTCATATTTAGGCAGAACGCATTAACTGTCGACATGCAAGATTAACACTTCACACAGTGCAATTACAATAACATGAAATGCACTAAAAGATAATAATACAAGAAAACCAATCCCATTATCCAAATCTAATGAAACACTCAACTGCATAATGTGCCATTAAAGTGAATTTGCCCATGACTATAACAAGAAAGCATGAACATATGTCACGCAAACCGCTCTAACGCGATTAGATTTAGATTTAATATCTACACAAGGCATGCATATATAACAATATACAACAACATATGAAAACATTTTTCCCTGCACGCCACATGTATTCAGTCTGAAATGGAAAACCGAATAAAACTGCGATTTACATAAATTAAACTGTTCAAACTGTTGTGTGAATTAAATATTATAGGCTATGCATTCTTGTTTACGTTGACTACAAGACGTCAAAACATTTCAGGATTCGACAATAACAAAGCTTCATTCGAATCATTTTTAAATTTGATTTAACTGAGGAATATGTAATTTGCTGACTCTAATTAAAAACGTACTCTTTTTAACGTTAAAAGTAACTGCGTAACACAACCGTCCGGTTCACCGGAAACGTCAGAAATCCAGTCAGAATCTCAAGCGCTTCTCTTACCTGTGGCGCCGTGTATAAACGGGCATTTCTCAGAAATATCAGGATGAGCTGACCAACCGAGTCCACAGAGACATTGGTCTTCACTTAACATCCAATAAAAGTAGATAAAAGCAATATTTCACTCCGGTTTCTGGACGCGCGTTTGGAGACAGCGTCCTTGCAGCAGCGCGTGAGAGCAACTGAATCCCCCGCGCGCGCTCTACTAGTACACAAGAGCGGGTGCTGTCTGTGATTATCAGGTAACCAAGTTAACCAGCTTTCAGTAAACGCCTGTAACCATAGTGACAGATATAACCATAGTACATATCTGTATTGTTATTGAAAGGAATGCAATTTTATTTAAAACTATTGGGATTTGGAGCAACCCCTGCTGCTTTCATCAAGTGAATGTGTTCAAAAACTCTGTATAAATGTATAAAGGTTGACAGAGTGAAACTAGTTGTCAGTTAATGTATTCCAGTCTAACAAGGAACGTTCTCAGAACGCTCTGGCAAGGTTTATAAGCAAATTATTAGCAAATATTTTTCCAGAAATGTTAATAGAACATTTGATTAATGTTATCTGGTGTATAATAATATTCTCAAAACAATAGCACGAAAAACAATATCTATACATTGTCTATTAAATGTTTTAGTGGGATGTTCCTCTAACGTTTATTTATTTATTTATTTATTTACGTTTCAGAATGTTCAGAAAAGTAACATTCCTTAACGTTTACATAACAAAAACTGTTTTTAGAACATTTAAAAAAACTGAACATTTTGTACGTTCATGGAACATTTAGAAATGTTTTCATAACTTAATGGGAACTTTGGCAAACATTCCTAGAATATATTTTTGTCATCGCACTTACTCTCAAAATGTGTTTTTATCTCAAACTTTCAGGTAGTCACTTTTAGTTATAGAATATGTTTGTCTTTTGTAACCAAACTGTGTGTGAATATGTATATCTTTAGCTCAACATTAGATCATAAAACTAGCAACACCAAGGTCATGGGTTCGATTCCCAGGGAATGCGTGAACTGATAACATTTTTACCTTGAATTCAGTGTAAGTCGCTTTTGATAAAAGTTTCTACCAAATGCACTGAAAATTGTATCAGCTGCTGTGTAAACATAATAATGCAGGTTCTTCAGATTTAGTTTTTTTAAAGGGGTCATATGATGCGATTTCAAGTTTTCCTTTCTCTTTGGAGTGTTACAAGCTCTTGGTGCATAAAGAAGATCTGTAAAGTTGCAAAGACTAAAGTCTCAAATCCAAAGAGATATTCTTTATAAAAGTTAAGAGTCAGCCACGCCTACCTAAAACGGCTCGTTCTAACACGCCCCCACATACCTACATCACTATGTGGAAATATTAGCATAATGCCACCCAAATGTGCACGCAAAGAAAGAAGGCATGGTTTCAGGAACAGCAGTAGTGTTGATGCAGCATGTCAGGGAGACGCTGTGTTTCAGTGCGAAAGCAAAAGCACTTTATTTGGCCTTCCAGAAGTAGATGCAATTAGGAATCATTGGTTAAGATTTATTTACAACAGAACAGCACAAC